CAGTGCAGGCTTGGTCTCAAGAGGAAACAGGCTGTCTGTTCTATCCTAGTCCCCCAAGATCTGCCAACAAATCAGAGAGTTTCTGGGAGTCACAGGTTTCTATCGAATCTGGATTCCTAACTACTTCCTATTGGTCTAACACCTCTATAAAGCTACAAAGGGGGAAAAATGGGAACCCTTAGTATGTGGGGGGCACAAGAGAAAGCCTTTAAAGAAATCAAGAGGGCACTCATAAATACTCCTGCTCTAGGCCTGCTGGATGTGATGAAGCCCTTTTCCTGTATGTCCATGAGTGAAACAGAACAGCTCTTGGGATCCTGACTCAGCCACTAGGCTCTTGCCACTGTCCAGTGGCTTGTCAAAACAACTAGATGCCATTTCCTGAGGCTTACTGCCTTGCCTGCACACCCTAGCAGCTGCTGCTGCCCTGGTGGCAGAGGGAGACAGCTTGCCCTGAGACAAGAACTCATTGTCCGAGTTCCCCACTCCATCCTCACTCTCATGGAGTATAAGGGAAATTACTGGCTGACCAACTATCAGAAGGCCAAATACCAGAGTATGCTATGTGAAAACCCACACATCTGGCTAGAGGTTGTTAAGACTCTAAATCCTGCCACCTTACTGCCAGCTGATTCGGGCCCCCTGGAACATGACTGCTTAGAGGTTATGGATGAAGTTTTCTCAAGCCAGCCAGGTCTAATCAATCAGCCTATAGGCCATCTGGATGTTAAATATTTCACAGATGACAGCAGCCTTATCTGGGACTGCACGCACTTTTCTGGGTATGCAGTAGTAACTCTGGACTCAGTCAGCTAACACTTCTGCACAAAAGGTTGGCCTCACATGAGCATTCCAGTTCACTGCAGGAGAAAAAGTAAACAACACTGACACTAAATATGCCTTCATGACCATTCATGTCCATGAGGCCTATATAAAGAGAGGGTGCTCATTAACTCAGGAGAAAAAGTATCAGATATGGGCAGGAAATCCTTGAACTGCTAGACACTGAATGGGCCTCTAAACGGCTGACAGTTATACGCTGCCTAGGACACCAAAAGGGAGATACAACAATTTCTCGGGGAAACCAGAAAGCTGACAGGAGGCCAAACAAGCAGCCCTCATGAGGGGACCAGCTCCAACTGCTCTGAGCACTGCCTTGTTCCCATATCCCTTAGCTAAATGGGACCTAAGGTATATACCACAAGGGCAGGCTTGGTTTAAGATTAAGGAGGAAAATTTTCTACCAGATGGATGGTAAGTTTACTTGAGTCATTGGTTCCTACATTTGTTAAGCAGTTCCACAAAGAAACTCATTCAGGGCAAATAGCCCTTGAGACCACTCTGGCCCAGCACTTTTATGTCTCCAAACTCTTCAGCATAAGTAAAGTAGTATGTGAAAGATTTTTCCTATGTGCCAAAAACAATCCCTGGCAAGGGCCAAGGGTGCCTCCCCTGGTACAGAATGTTGGCAAAACTCTTGAAAACTTGATCATGGACTTCATTGAAATGCCGTGAGCTCGAGGATGCAAATATCTGTTGGTGTCTGCACCTCAGGATGGGTGAAAGCCTTCCCCACATGGACTGAAAGAGCCTGGGAGGTAGCCAGGTGTCTACTAAAGGAAATCATCCCTCAGTTTGGAATACCTGCGTCTATTGGGTTAGATAATGGACCAGCATTTGTGGTGGAAGTAGTACAGCTGGTAGCTAAGGGCTTAAAAATTACCTAAAAGTTACATATGGCCTACCATCCCCCAAAGCTCAGGAAAAGTAAAATGTATACATAAAACCTTAAAATCACAACTGGAAAACTATGTCAAGATACCCATCTACAGTGGGATCAATTACTACCCACAGCATTACTAAGGATTAGATCTAGCCCCACGAAGCAGACAGGACTTTTACCCTTTGAAGTGTTTTAAGGACATACAGGGGGAACCTCAAAAACTAGGTGACCTCACCTTAAGGCAACAGATGCAGGCCCTCGGATTGACTCTCTCAAAGATCAATGTCTGGGTCCAGGAGAGACTTCCCATCAGCCTGAAAATTCCCACATATCCTTACAAGCCAGGGGATGCCAGATGGGTAAAGGAATGGAATGTCCAACTGCTAAAATCTCATTGGAGAGGCCCTTTTGTTATTGGTTTGTCTATAGTTACAGTTAAAGTTGCAGAGATTATTGCTTGGATCCACCACAGTCAAATAAAGCCAGCCTCTCTTGAATGGAAATTCAAGAGACCATCCCTGACCCAGCCTCACCATACAAGATCACCTTCTGGAATGCCCATGTCCTTCCCCGGAAGGACTGTACTTCCCAGGAGACATCAGGAGACCATGAACGATGGGACGACAGCCCTGTTTTAGTCACTCCAGACTAATCTACACATGGCAAAAGCTTGAGAAATCAACTTCCAATGGGATAAATGGACTGTTTTCTGTGCCAGTTATTTTATTGTAATACATTGTCACCCCTTGTCTATATCCATTGCTGTAGTTCTCACCCTAATCTTTGCCATAGATTTGGTGAAAACTGCCCCTACCAACTGGACCCATGGCAGAAAGTTTTTATTAGCTCTCTTCTACCTCTTTTGGGCAGGATGTATAACTACTGTTTATTGTTACTGATCTGGTCCCTTTTCATGGTTTCGGGGCCCTCATTCTGTGACCCATGTATTTGCATAACTGGGTGGAGTCAGGGAGTTACTTGGACCCTGCTTTACCACACTCATTTCTCTTGCCAGGGAAAAATCTCAAAAACTTACACACATAAAAGACTACCTATTCCATCTGTATCAAAGCGGGGAACGATGTGGCAGGGATGAGGGCCAGAAAAGAAGAAAGCAAGTCTGTGCTCTGATAATGTAGTGGGGGAGGGGATGGCATAGCAGGGAGATAAAGCTTAAAACAATCTAACATGAAGAAGGCCACATAGCACTGGGGGGTGAAGTAGCCAATAGAGTTGGTACAAGCATATATGGGTTAAACCTTGCTTCTTGCTTCTGTAACCTGCTTGCAAGGGTATATAAGGTAAGGCCCCTTTGTTCTTGGAGCTCAGCCTTTGGATACAAGTCCCCTAAGTCTGTGCCAGCACAAAAATACGTTGCTTCCTGCTGAACAGCCTTGGTGTCCCATTTCCCTGTCCTTGAAAATTACAATATTGGGACCAGTAGGGGAAATTTAAAAAATACTCGTTTTTCTCTATCTTTTCTTTCCTTCTCTCTCTCTCTCCCCCTCTCTCCCTCTCTCTCTCTCTCTTTCTCTCTCTCTCTCTCTCTCCCCCCTCTCTCCTTCCCACTCTCTCTTTCCTTTCTACACACAAAGCTGTATTTCCATTTGATTCAAGACTTGGAGGGGCTCCAGTGTGGCTAAGAAGCCGCCTGGTGGCAGGAGAGAGGCTCAGGCAGAAGGCAATGCCACGTGATGCTGAGCTGCCCCTCCAAGATTGAGAAGACTCTTGGTCCTGCATGAGGGAGAGGTGCTCAGAGATGCTCGCCCAGGGGCAGCCAGCTGTGGAGGTCAAGAGGTGGTTGCTTATCCTCTTGATGAGTTTCACTTCCTCCTGTAGGAAGTAGCTCTGCAGGAAGTCACAGAGGTGGGAGTTTGTGTGGGTGAAACTAGGGGTATGAAGATCCAAAGGGCTCAGTTCAGGCTCTTCTCCAGGGCCATGGCAGCCTTCATAGTATTCAGGGTTTGCCCCACTCATCTTGAAAAGGTCTCTGCTCATCCTGGCAAGAGTGCTGCTGGCATGTTTTTACTGCATCTTCAGGAGATGCTGGGCACCCTTGGCTTCTCTTTGGCCAACTTGGGAAGAAGTGATCCATGTCTGCTAGAGCCACCTTAATCACCATGGAAATAGCAGTCCTTTTGATAGGCAGGTGCAGGGGCCTGCAGATGCAAACTGTCCAGATGGTTGATGACAGCCTCCACCTTGGTGGAATAATTCTGATGAGTCTGGGAGGTCATGGTCTGTCATCAATATGGAGGTCACCACAAAAAAAAAAAAAAAAAACGGTGTTGGCTAGTCCTGGAAGGAGGAGATGTGAGATGGCCACCAAGGTTGTGACTGCAGAGGAGATTCCAAAGAAGTTGGTGACTGAAAGAGAGGGAGTCCCTGGATCTGTGCCATCCAAACGCTGTTGAAGCAAGAAACAGATCTGCAGGACCTTCACATGCTCCACTCTATGCTTTTCTTATATGACTTTTGTTTAAAACTGGACTGAGATAACAGTTTCTTTTGGTCAGCAAGAAGATATATATTAAGCAATTATGTTTAAGTTGAGAAAGAAGAAGACACTAAAGTTAGATTATAGCAATATATCTTGAGAGTTTCAGTTAATTTATTCCCCCAATCAGTGAATTATATAAGTGAAGATGTTCTTAATAAGATTGGTTGTAATTTGTATAAAATAACTTTATATTCAAACACATTATTTTTAAATTATGACAATTATATACCCTATCCATTACTTTCCTAGACATGGTCCTATTCCTAATATGCAATTTCTCAACCTTTACTGACCATGTAGGTTTCTTCTACAATGCAGTTAAGCTTTACCAAAAGGCAAAATCTTAATTTGGAAAAATTCTTTATTTATTCTCATTTTGTAAGGATACACTGAGAGCTTTAATTGTTTTTTTTTTTTGGTGGGACTGGGATTTGAACTCAGGGCTTGGCACTTGCAAAGCAGGTGCTCTACTGCTGAGTCACACCTCTAGTCCATTTTACTCTGGTTATTTTGGAGATGAGGTCTTGTGAACTATTTGCCTGGGCTGGTCTCAAACCAGGATCCTCCTGATCTCAGCCTCCCAAGTAGCTAGTATTATAGAAATGAGCCACAGGTGCCCAGCTTCAATTTAGTTTTATCTCAACAATAGTAGTATATTCCTATATAAAAGAAAGGCTCAGTTTTATTGTTTTGGAGGAAATTGAAGTTTGGTTTTTATCACTTAATATCTTTAGCATTTTATTCATAAAATTCAAACTGGCTTAGAAGAAGACTTACCATTTTTTGGAGGTTTTTCTATTTTGCACCATGGTACCAGGTAAGCAATCTCACTCTCTTGTTTATCAATAAGAGCCAAATTTGGAATGAGGAACTGTTCTTGCCATACCTTATCTTTGGCCAATGCTTTCCTAACTGCAGCTCGATGAGCAAAATTATCTATGGGGGAAAAGAATTAAGAAAAGTAAAACTTTTAAACTTTAAATCATCACTACTTCTCTGGGTCTCATCCATATCAACAGGCATTTAGGAACACTGTGCTATGCATTTGGAGATTCCAACAGGAAGAGATGTGACATCTGCCTCAAGGTGCTCATGGTCTTGGGGGAACAGAAATGCAAACAACTATTGTAATGCCCCAGAATGGGGTTCACAGGTTCTACCACTTCCTAGGTAGCTGTATAAGTAAGGTAAGTTTTTGTAGCTTTTTTTTCTCTATTTCTTAATCTGTGAAATGAAGAGAATAATGTAACATTGAATTCTGGGATTGTTGTAAAGATCAAATGAATTAATATGTGAAATAATTTAGAACAATGTTCAGCACCTACTTAATACTCAGTGTATGTGAACTATTCTTCAATTGAGGCACTTAGCTGACAATGACAATTTAGACAAGTAGTACTTCTCTGGTTGTGGTAGATGGTTCAAGCCAAATTCACCTTGAATAAAACATAGGTGAAATTAAAATGTACTTTGTAAGCCTTTTCTCCTTTGAACAAATAGCTTTAAAGAAATAGTGCTGATTCTTTTACTTAAGGTCATCCATTCTTTTTTTCCTCGCACTTAGGTGTCTTCTTTTTAACTTACACAAATATTTACCCATGCCTATTGCTATACTTACTTCTAAGATCTTTTGAGACTGATGGTAAGAATTCTGTATAGTTTATGTTGGGGATTAGGAGTAATACCTATCTTACATATCAAGTGAGTATATCAGAACTTTATTAGTTTTCCTAGCGGGCCATGATTTAACTTGAACCATATCCAAAGTGTAAGTTGTGTTTTAGTGTGGCTTGTTCTATTAAATGAGTGAAAAACCATATACTATTCTCATGTTAGGCACAGAATGAACAGTTAAAAAATGAAGTATTTTATGAACATTAATTTGGTTACTGATGACCAGTCCTTAAATGAAATTATTACGAGTTTCTGGGCATCCTGCTGTGGATCTTTAAGACAAGATGTTAGAGTACCAAACATGCTGGGGATTTTTGGTAGCTTATCTTTCCTCAGGGATAGGTCCACTTCAAAATGGGAGGAACTCCTTAATTCCTTTTCCTTTCCCTAGAGTAGTATGACAGTGGATTCCTTAGAAATCTGGGGTACAGAAATGAAACTGAAGTGGTCTCTAAACATAACAGAATTATGAAATCTCAGAGTTGAGTAAGGCTTAAAAGTTGATCATCATTCCTTTTAACTTCCATTTACTTAAATCTCTACATGTGGGAATTAATTTTGCTAAAACACTAATATCCAGCCTACCTTTATTAATAACAAAGATACTTCATTTCTTTTGTGCTCTTGACCTACTTGGAGTTTTATAAGCCCTGTTTTAAATTTTGCAAAAACCATCCTTCTAATAAACCATTCTAAAATTTTTGTAAGAATTAAATGTCTTTGTCACAATTATATGATATGATACATGAGAATCCATATTTTCACAGTTATGATAATGTAAGCCTTTGAGAAAGGCTTTTCAGGTGGACCACTGAGAATAGTAATCACTGAATTTACTTTTTTGGTACTGTGTTACTTTTTGATAGTTTTACTTAACCTGTGAATATCTATAGAAATATAGATCTGAGAACTTAAACTTTACGACTCATACCATATTTCCAAATATGAAATACTGTGTTCATTCTGCCTCCAAATTCTACACTCCAATATCCAATCAGTTCAGAGTGAGCTGTCCGAAGATGAACGTTTTTCTTAAAATTTTCCAAGAACTCATTCATCTTTGAAGGTTTAAGATAATAGGTACGAAACTCATAGAATGTTCCATCAGTCTGTCTGGGGCCCGTAGCAAAAGATGAGCACACCTGAGGAGAGATAAGGCAAATTTAAATATTTTAGAGAAGGTAGGATTTATGTTATGTTACAACCAAATCTGAGTCTAGAAACAAGGGGCAAATAATCAGTAGACTCAATCTATGTTTGTACTTCTGCCAACTCTCCAGAGTTGTGTTTATGTAGAGATGTCATATGTAGAGATAGCGACTTAAGAATGTGGAATACACAGCTACTGTTTCCTAATAGGGGCTCACCTTTAGCCACTGTTCAATGAGAAGATGTTTATATAAAGACACAGGTGTCTTAATGATACTCCTGGCAAACTACAATTAGGATATACTTAAATTTACAGTTTTCCCTTATTTAGTCAACACTCCATCTTAGTTTAATAGCATATAGGCTAGAGTTTTGCATCTTAAAGAACTTTACAAATTCTACATATTTTTTTCCGCAGGCACAATGAAAATAGCAGAAGAAATTTTTTTAGCTTTTTAAAAAAAGGGGAAATTTCTGTTCAAATCAAAGTATTTTCTATAGTCAATGACACAACCATTGTTCAAAAATAGGATTGGGATGTAAATAATGCATAAGATTGCTATGTGCTAACCAAGTGCATTCCAATAGTTCAGTGGTAGTGTATATAAATTCTACAAAAGGAAAATTCAAGGATCAGAATTATTTGAGTTACTATCAGTTTCTTATGACAGATGCAGTGTAAAGAAGGGCATTTAATGCATCCACTTGTACCAGTATTTCTTGAGAACCAGAGTAGCTGGGATTACAAGCTTGAGCCACTTTACCCACCTGCCCTGATACATTTTTTAATTACAAAACACACAGTATGTATTTTGTGTGTAAGGCTTAATTATCGTCTCAACTGAGTTCATTCCATTCATGTCTGTTATAAGTTATATTCTTATTGCCCAAATGACTAAGCTTCCTATCAAAAACAATTGCAGCTGTCTCTGCATTTGGTGGACACTGTTTTTGTGCTTTTAATGCAACTCTAATAACAGAATGTTAGTAGTAAAAAAATGGCCTGGTCTGTAATTTTTAAAATTTCAAAATGACTGTATTTGAAGGCTGAAACAGTTGGTCAAAGATACACACTCTTTTTCAGACCACATAAGGAAGGTTATACAGCAAGGGAAAGTGGTGTGTGAAGGAGAGAAAGTGATTTTCAAGATTGTGTTGCAAACTGGGGCAAAAATCAGTGTTTGATATTTATCTCCAACATAGGATTCTTTTTTTCTTCGGTGGAGGTGGCACTAAGTGGGGTTAATTTAAGGCCTCCAGTTCCTGTGCAAGCACTCTACCACTTGAGCCAGTCCCCAACCCTTTTGCTTTAGATGTATTTAGAATAGGGTCTCCTGTTTGCCAGCGCCAGCCTGAACCAGGTTCATACTATTTAATGCTTGCTGCATAGCATAACTGGGATGATAGGTGCCCACCACCACACCCAGATCGGGGCTGGGTCACTTACTTTATGCCTGGGATGTCCTTGAACCATGATTCTCCTGATCATCTTTCAGGAGTAAGTAGGAGCTAAGAAGTGAGCCACTATCTAGGCTACGATTCATTTTTATCAGCAACGACTAACAATTCACTTATAAGAGAATGAGGGTAGAAACTTTAAAACACCAGGTTCAGAGAAAAGTCATAGGGCAATAATTCTTGGTGAGAATCAGAAGGGTAACAACTACTGTTAACGCTGGGTGGAAGTCTGTGTCTGGACTAGGTTAACCTCTTCCTGTCTCGCTAGTTGGGAATGGAGTAAAAGCTAAACTTGGAAAGGAAAAATAATCTCTGGGTTAAATTCACAGAACAGTCCAGTGCCCAACGGCTAAGGCTGGACCACTGTCTGATCGTGTGCATCTCGAATCGAAAGCTAAGCATTTATTTTCTTGTTTCACGAAGCTCGCGTCCATGCTTGCTTGGAGACCCGAGGCGGGAGACGTCCGATGGGCGGCGTCCTCCACACCGGACCCGGGGTCCAGCTCAAAGTCGCGCATTTCGTTTAAAAGCGGAGGACGGTTCTTTAGCAGTGGCTGGCGGACCTTTTCCTTCCACAAAGGAGATGCACGGGAGGCCGGTCAGTGCCTTTGTCCTGTGACCGTGCTGCCGGCAAAAACGGCGACTTGGGGGTTCACCTCGCAGACAGGCGAGAAAATCGGGGGATCTCGGGGCGGATGGGGGGCCGACTGCGCCCGCGGCCCTGCTCTGCACACACACCCGGGCCGCAGACCAGAGCTCCCGGCCGCAGGAGAAGGGCGGTCGGCGCAGCCGGAGGGGAGAGAGCGCATGCGCGGCGCTCGCGCTCCAGGACCCCGCCCCCACCCTCTGCGCACGGCTCGCGCCCCGCGTCCGTACCTGAGGCGCGAGCCTCCGCGCGGTCAGCGCTCTGGTCAGGCGGCTTCGGAGGGCAAGCATGGCGCGGCTTGCGGCGGCGCCCAGGAAGGAAGCCGGGTCCTCTGCGAGTGTCACACTCCGACGGCTTCGTGGAGGATTGATAGGCGGGCAGGCGGGGCTCGGCGGGTCAGCTCCGCCCCGGGACCCGCTGGCCCGGTTTGCGGCAATGTGTGGTGAGCGCTGACCTCTGACCCTCTTTGTTCCCGCAAACGTCCGAGGTGACGTTACAATTAGCTGAAGGCTGAGGTCGCTCTTCTCCACCTTCAGGGCCGCTTGTCACCCGCCCCAGTGCGCAGTTGCCCGGGGCTTGAACACGGGAGGACGACGTGAAACCTCGGGAGCAGCGTTGTGCATTAAGATCCTGGGGGCTGGGGGAGGTGACCCCGTGTGGTGGCCTTGGAGTCGACCAGGGAGCCTTCGCCTTCATCTGCGTCTCCCAGCAAGACCTTGACTCCTAGATTTGGGTTAACCTTCCCTGGAGCCCAGAGGCATGGGTGACCTGGTCCTGCCATGAGAAATTCAAATTTAAACATGCATAGGTTGAAACCAAGTAGTTCTCTGAGACTGAAAAGTAAAACGGCAGACCAGTGGTGTGGTCCTCCCTGAGTGTTCGTCCCGGAATAATTTAACATTTTTAGGTTGTTTTTTCTGATAGGTTTTCTGTCTTACCATTTGTCATGTTCTGATGGTTTGTGTCTTCTGTTATAGACAGCAGCCATTGACTTTTAGTGTGAGGATTTAGATGTCTTCATACAACTTCTCTCAAACACACTGCCCTTCCTACTCTATAGTTTCATAAAAAATATTTAATTGCCTTATTAATTTACAATAATCTACATTACAATATTGCTTATATTATTCTTGCTAATAGTTACACTACATATATATATATCTCAATTATTAGGACTTGGGGATTACTATAGGTTTATGAACTGGTGTTATTGGTTGTGCTTTGTGGAAAGGCTTTTAAAGTTAGTAATTCTGGAGGAAGTGCCTAAATATGTTTGGAAGAGAGGCATCCATTTCTAAACAAGCAAGGCTGAAAGTATCATTGTGTCATGACTGGATCGATATGATTAGATTTTTCTCTTAGGCTTTGTTTTTCACCCTTGAATTAGCAATTCATTTACTTATTCAACCAATGCTTATTGAATTTTTTCTATGCCCCAGGCACTTTTCCAGAAGTGGATATAGAGGTAGAAAAGGCTGTAGCTCCTTTCCTATTGGCACTTATATTTTTCATGAAACGGATAAAAGAAGAGAAAGCAGCTCTGTGCATCTCAGCTCATCTGTAGAGTCAATCAATGATGGAAGGAAGATATTGGGGAAAAATATTGTCTCCAAGTACTAACTAGGCCCCACCCTGCTCAGCTTCAGAGATCGGATAAAATCGGGTACATTCAGGGTGGTTTGGCCGTAGACTGGAAAAATAATGTCTGTTCTGAAAATATACAAATCTTTTCTTGTCATTATTGCTTGAGCTACACACCCCAGCCCACTTTTGCTTTGTATTATTTTTCAGATAGGGTCTTAATCTCCCTGGGCCTCAGACTATAATCTTCCTATTATTTGTAGGGGGCCACTATGCTCTAGAGATGGGGTGTTGCTAACTTTCCTCCTGATCTCTGTCTCTGGAGGAATAGTATATTTACATAGCACTTACACTGTATTAGCTATTATAAGTGTCTAGGAAGATGAGTCTTATACAATACTGTGACATTTCATATAAGAGATTTGAATATTTGTGAATTTGATGTCCTGGTTCCAATTCCTGACAGCTAGGACAGCTGTCTAGTGTAGATTAATAAACAATATGAAGAGCAATACAGTAGAACGCATAGACTGGAAAGTGCTGGAGATAGACAACAGAGACTGTTAGCTATTTGTCAATATCCATTCTTCCCTTTCACCTCACTTTTTTTTTTTTTTAAAGAACCTTTAGCTTAGTGAGATCATCTGACTAAGTCCTGGTCACTGGGTAATGCCAATGCATTAATGACGTGTAAGTGATCTAAAGGGGTAGAGAGGGGTTGTCCCCTTTTCTGTTTTTTCCTCATTTGTGCTTACAGGAAAATGCTAGTAATGAGTCCATGAATTATGCTGTAGAAAGCATATGCTAAAGGTGGTGGAACAAGAGAGAAGCTTAGGTTTCTGACACCTTGGAAAAACCCACACTTAGAGCCCTGCAATGCTTTCCTTTAGGTTTCTTTAATTTTTTTTAATTTCTGATTTATCATACATTAACAACATGAGGAGATTGCATTGTGATAATTCCACAAATGTGCACAATGCACCTTATTTATTAGGATATATTCATCATACAGTGGGGCATTCATATGACAGTTCCAATTAGATTATATTGTACATTAGTTACATTGCCCACATTGTCTTTCCCCTCAACCCCGTCCCTACCCCACTTGAAGCCATTGCAAGAGGTTTCTTTTTTCTGTTACATGTAAGTATATGAAGTCCATCAACCATATACCCTCACCTTAATTTTCATTCATCTTCATTCCTCTCACTAGTAGCCCCACAACACACCGTACCTATTTTATAGTACTGTCTTTCATTACTAATTAAATTGATGTTCAAAGAGGTTTCTCAATGTATGCCCACTGCGAGTATACTTTACTTTGGTCCATTTAACCCCTTCCATTTCTCTCCCTTATCCCTTTACCTCCCATCCCCACTTTTCAACAGCTTTCAGTACACATCCTTATATCCTCTACCTTCTCAGATCTTATGTTTTATATTACTGATGCTTATCATTTTCATTTCCTTTCCCTCCTTCCCTGAGTACCACAGATTAATTCCATTCTTACAAACATGTTCTACATATGAGTTTGTATATGGTCATGCTTATTTTTGTGTATATGTTTTTCTTTTGGATCTGTTTTCCATGTATTAGAGAAAACATGCAGCCTTTGTCTTTCTTAGCCTGGCTTACTTCACTTAACATGATGTCCTCCCATTGCATCCACTTGAAGGAGCAATTCATCAAGAGGCAATATCAGTTCTTAACATATGCAACAAACACAGGAACACACACATTAAAAAAAAACTCTTAATGGACATAAGAGTTCAGATAGACCCTAACACAAGACAGTGGGAGTCTTGATACCCCATTGTCACCAATAGATAGGTCATCCAGGCAAAAGATCAACAAACTTCAGAGCTACTTCACACATCAGACCAAATAGACACAATAGATATCTATAGAGTATTTCACCCAAAACCAACCAGTACACATTTTTTTTCTGCAGCTCATGGAACTTTCTCCAAAATAGATAATATTTTAAGACACAAAGCAGGTCTCAACAAATTCATGAAAATTGAAATAACCCGCTGTATCATATCAGATCACAACAGAATAAAACTAGAGCTCAACAGCAAAAGAAATCACAGAAAATATTCAAACACATGGAGACTGAACACAATATTGCTGACAGACCAGTGGGTGTCTGAAGAAAGAAGTGAAGAAATCAAAAAGTTTCTAGAATCTAATGAAATGAAAATACAACCTACCAGAATCTGTGGGATACAGCTAAGGCCATGCTAAGGGGAAAGTTCATAGCTATAAGGTCATAAGTTAGGTTAGTTTTTAGTTTTTTGAGAAACCTCCATACTGATTTCCATAGTGTTTGCAGTAGTTTACATCCTCATTAATGGTGTATGAAGGTTCCTTTTCCCCTGCATCCTCACCAGCATTGTTTGTTTCTTGATGATGGTCAATCTGACTGTGGTGAGATGGAATCTTAGTATAGTTCTGGTTTGCATTTCCTTCTGGTTAAGGATGTCGAACATTGCTTTGTGTATTTACTAGCCATTTGTATTTCTTCCTTGTGAGAACTATCTATTCAACTTATTTGCCCATTTATTAATTGGATTATTTGTTTCACTGCTTCATTTTTTGAGCTCTTTCTATACTCTGGATATTAATCCCCTATCTGTTGAAGAGTTGGCAGAGATTTTCTCCATCCTGTGGATTGTCTCTTGATTCTTGTAACTTTCTTTTGATGTGCCGAAAATTTTAATTCAATGCAGTCCTATATGTCACTTCTTACTCTTATTTCCTTGTCAATTAGAGTTCTGTTCAGAAAATAATTACCTATATCTTCCAGAGTTTTCTCTCTTTTTTCCTGTAGTAGTTTCAATATTTCAGGTCTTATATTAAGATCTTTGATATATTTAGAGTTGATTTTTTTCACCGAGTGAGAGATAGGAATCTAGTTTCAGTCTTTGCATGTAGATATCCAGTTTTTGTAGCACTATTTGTTGAAGAGGCTTACTTTTCTCCAATGTATGTCTTTGGGCTGTTTGTCAAAGATCAGATGACTGTAGTCATGTGGTTTTATTTCTGGGTTTTCTATTCCATTCTGTTGGTCTTTCTGTCTGTTTTTGTGCCAGTACCATGCTGTTTTTGTTACTATGGCTCTTTAGTAAAATTTGAAGTCTGGTGGTGTAATACCTCCAGAATTGCTCTTTTTGCTCAGGATTGTTTTTGATATCTGGGTCTTTATTCTTCTAATGAATTTTAGGATTGATTTTTTCCTATTTAGGTGAAGAATGACATTGGGATTTTGATAGGAATTGCATTAAATCCATAAATTGCTTTTGAGGTAGAGCCATTTTCATGATATTAATTCTGCTAACCCATGAACATAGGAGGTCTCTCCATTTTCTGGTGTCATCCTCAATTTCTTTCTACAAGGTTTATAGTTTTCATTGTAGAGGTCTTTTGCATCCTTTGTTAAGTTTATACTTAGGTACTTTATTTCATTTCATTTTATATGAATGTTTTCCTGATTTCTTTCTCAGCTTATTCATTGTTGGTATATAGAAAAAGCTACTGATTTTTGTATTTTGACTTTATATCCTGCTATGTTGTCAAAAGTGATTATCAGATCTAGGAGATTTTTGGTGAAATATTTGGGATCTTTTAAGTATAGAATCAACTCATCTTAAAATAGAGATAATTTGACTTCTTCCTTCTGTATTTTAATGCCTTTTCTTTCTTTCTCTTGCCTTTTCTGGCTAGGAATTCCAATAC